CTTAGGAGAGTCCAGTCCGGGGTTGAGTGTGCAGTTCCAATCTCCCAGCATAAGCAGATTTTCGGTATCTGGGAGAATCTTTGGGAGGTCTGCAAAAAAATTGATACGGGAGGAGTGTTTTACGGGGGCATATAACGAAACCACCACCCAGTCTTCATCCTCTACAGCTAGTTTCATCCAGGCCCAACGGCCTTCCAAGTCAAAACATGAGTCGATGACATCTACCTCCAGGTTGCTGTCCAATAGGATGGCTACACCCCCTTTTGTCCCCACTGCCGGAGACCATACCTGGGGACCTCGCCACCAATTTGCAATTTCCGCCATTTTATCAGGACCAATCTTTGTCTCCAGTAAGCATAATATTTGTACTCTCTGAGAGTGGGACCAAGAAGAGAGCCTTTGTCTGTCACTGAGATCACCTAAACCTCGTACATTCCAGCTAGCAAGTCTGATTCTATTCGGTAGAACCATTCTTGCTAGGTGGGCCGCCTTGGGTTTGGATGCGGTTTTCCCCTTCAGGTCCCTTCCCAACAGATATAGAGTCCCCAGTCATCCCTGTAAGGGGCATCTTTTCCCCTACTGAGAATCTTAGGCTTTTACCGACTTTTCTTTTTAACAGCATCTCAGAGAAAGAGTCGGCCATCAGCAGAGACCGGTTGTCTGCTTGGGTCACCCAGTCAGCCAGTACACTGGCTGTCAGTCCTGATGGGAGGCGGATACCTCGTGCCGTTTCCGAATGGGGATCAAGCAAACGCTGCAGTTCGACCCAATAGATCCTCAGATCATCCCATTTAGCTTTATTGTCACTAATCTGAGAGAGATCCAAAAAGGCCAGCAGCAGTCTCACTTTCCCCCCTTCCGGTGTATCAACCAAGTGAGGTGCCACTTTCGGCACCGGAAGCAAATTATTACCTCCCCCAGTCCCTGCAGCAACTGAATTTTAATCAAATTACATATCATAACCGGGGAGGGGAAACTCTTTAGTAAAATTGACGGAAATACAAGAGTCTCATCCTTCCCCATGAAGGTCAAGCATCTAGGCCCATGTGTCTCATGTGAACAAATTAGCGGAATTAGATATTCTGAGACCAACCCCTTCCCCTTTTCCCCCCTGGACAGAGTGCGCATGGGGGCCGCCATGGCCAGAGACCGCCGAGCCGGCCGATCAGACTGGGTTCATCCTCGTTTCAGAGGTGATGATCTAACCACCTCCTCACTCATGCACCTAGTCTCTTCTTCCACCGTTCTGGTTTGGGTGCTCTGGCCTTCTATTCTGGGCCTTTTAACTGATGAGATAGGACTATCAGGTCGAGGCTTCTCCCCCCGGGGTTTCCAAGTAGGAGCAGGGGAAGAGAAAGTGAACTGAAGAGGAGTTAGATGTACCTGTTCTCCCCCTGAATCTCCCAATTTGTTGTTGTTCGTTCCCTGTTTGCTTCCTGGGGAGTCAAACAGTCCTTCTGGCGGGGAGAAAAAGTCTTGATCTGGATCTGATCCCCCCCCCTCGTCATCCTCAGACTCACTTCCTGACGGATAAAGAGGGAGGGAGCCCGCCATAGGATCTGTGACAGTAAGAATTTTCCTACTGTTTGCAGATCCCTGTCTGACTTTGACCAGGCTGCAGACTTCCAACTCATCGTCTGAGTGGGGCTCATTAAACAGGTCATTCGTGTGTACCGTACATGCGCCGGTTTTCTCCCCCAGCAACTGGTTCAATGTCGCCACTGCTTCGCTGGTTTCCCCGGATACCAAAAGAGCCTCACCCTGTATTTTAGTGCCTGAAATGGGGGGTAAAAGGGCCTTTACCCGATATAGGCCTCAGGCCTTGTAAAAATAGAGCAGCACGGGCCTTGTAAAAGTAAAGCATTGTGAAAAGGTATCTTGCCAGGGCTCAGAAACGTGAAAACAGGTCAAA